AAAGTAAAATTATTTTGGTTATACATATAAACGAATACTCAATTGAAATTATTTCATTCAACATTTGGTAGCTATATTATCACACTAGAAAAAGAGTTTCTGATTGTATTAATTGGAATTCTGATCGAAAATGAACGATCAGAATTTTCTGGTTGAATCCACTATAATTCTAGTTGAGATAACCAAAATTCGTGATGTTATCAGAATCTTCGGTTTCCTTCATTTTTAATTTGAAATTTTTTTCAGTTCACTCTTTTTCAATGCCAAAAAAGATCCAGATTAGCAGACAGAAGATTAATCGAGTCTGTTTTGTACATTATCAATATAGATAACACTTTAATCTCGGTTTCTCCATTTTTCAACTTCAATTTACTTCATCTTTTCCTAGTTTTAAAAAATAGAAAAAGGTGAAGAGTAATTTGAACCAAAATTAATATTAATCTACAGTGATAAAAATGGGCATAAATCGGGCGATAATTATTTCATCGATTTCGCGAACAGCAGATAATCGTCTTTCCAACAGCTTTGCGAAAAGAATTCGTGACCAATCGCGAATTTATTAATCAAATGAGTATTAATTTAATCACCCCAAGATGACGAATAAACGCTGACATTTCGCGGATGAACGTGATGTATTTTCCGTCAGCGATTGACGCAAACCATTTATATATATTTTCGAAAGTTTTAGTTGAATCGCATTGAAAACGAGAGTTGAGAGACATTTATCAGTGTAGAAAGATTTCTACTTTGAGAATCTTATTGATTAAGTGCTTCTTGAATGTCGAAGCGACGATATACCGTAATACTCACATACGCTCATGTAATGTCACTACGGATGATAATTTACGAAGTCTATAAATAGCGCGAACGGTGGGTCAAACTTCAAAGTTTACTTCTCTCGTCGTCGGTTTTCAACGCGGAACGAGTTCCGCACACCACGATAAACCTACCTATGATATAAAACCTAATCAATCACAGAAGCGAGCACAAGGCAAACCAGTCGAGCTGTTAGTCAGTCTTATTCCCGCAGTCGTTGGTGATAGATCGAACCATGTCGTCGGAAGTATTAACCGGTATCCTGGGCAAGCGTTACAAGCTCCAATCTAGCGAAAAGTTTGACGAATACATGAAAGCTTTAGGTGAGACGATCGAGCTGCACGTAAATCCGTTTATCAGAAGAAATCGATCCCTGGTCTTGACATAGATCACAAATGCATGTGACATAGATCGACAAATGCGTGTATTTACGTATTTTTTTCTTTGCATATTTTTTATACAAGGAATTGCTTTTCTCTAAAAGAATATCGAGAACTCGATGGTTCTTTTATCGGTAGAAAACGAAGTGCTTCCCGAGAAATAAGCTTTAAAGAATTTTATCAGCTGGCAGATAAATATTCATTTTGCCATTCAACTTCGAGTGGAGTTTAATAGATATGCAATTTAAAAGTTATCCTGATCGAGCCTAACTCTCAATCGCTATATGATTTTATCTTTATATTTGTTTAGGCTACTTATGTTCAATCTGTTAATATAAATTTAAGTAGCAACTTACAAATTTACAAGCATATGGAGAGAGGGCACATTCCAAGCCAGAAGTTTGGAAAGACTTCTTAAAAGTTGACATTGTTTAATGGACCTTTGAAACTTTGTACAATTCTAGTAACTAGTATAACATCTATATAGATAAAATAATTTCAGATGAACAAAAAAATATAACTGTCTAATATTTTTTACTAAGACTTCCCAAAAGTCAAACCCCCCAAAAATGTTAATTTTTAAAAAGCGTTTCTAATTTTTTGGCCTAGAATATATGTTTTGAATATTTTTCTCTTTTGATAGCTCACAATTAAATTGCGAAGTGTGAACGCTTTCACGAGAATAATTAATAATCCGCGATGAGCCATCTGTGTGACATAAATACATCCGGCAGATTAGGATTTCATGGAGCTGATGAGAAACGTAGGTGATTTTAAAGCAGCTCATACCTTCTTTCAGGCGTGGGTATGGTGACGCGCAAAATGGGTAGCAGCGTCAGTCCTGTCATTGAACTGACGGAAAAGGACGGAGTGTACACTCTAAAGACGTCCAGCGCTTTCAAAAATACCGAAATAAAGTTCAAACTTGGCGAGGAGTTCGACGAGGAGACTGTAGACGGCAGGAAGGTGAAGAGCATCTGTACTCTGGAGGGTAACAAACTCATACAGGAGCAAAAAGGCGAGAAGGGCACTACAATCGAGAGGGAATTCGGACCTACGGAGATGAAGGCGGTAAGAACAATTTTAGAAGATTATTAGAATTAATAATTTATTTTTCGAATATTCGCACGCATCACTTGCAATAAAGATGATTAGAATAAAATATTTATATGATTTATATTATAATGCATGCAAAAAGTATTCGTATAGGAGAGATATCTTTTGAAAAAAAGATTTCTTATTTTTAGAGAGTAAATATTAATTAATAATTAGCAATATATTAGCAAAGAATAAATAGATTATATATTTCTCAAAATTATTTCACCTAAAATTATGTGCAATAATTAAAATATATCTCAGTAATAAATGAAAATGAAATATGGTATTATTCGAACACCAAAAAATATTCGTACAGTCGAGAAATTTAACTTCTAAGTTATTTTCGTAAAATTCTTTTTGTTTATATTAAATTAAAACGTACATATTGTTAATAAGTTGCTAATTAATGTCTATTTTCTACAAATAAGAGTTTTAAAATGAAAATCTTATATATGAATACTTTTTCATTCACTGTAAATATAACTTAAATGTTATTACGTTTCTTGGAGCAAACTAGACATTTTTTAAAATAAATTTTATTAATAAATAATTTAATTCATTTGCAACACGATATTTAAATCGGTTGTATCAATATTTTATCCATAAATCAATATAACGAGCCTTATCGATCAAACTATGTCGCTATTTATTATTAATGCTATTAAAAGTTAGCAGCACGGTAATGTCGACCTTCAATCGCGTAAACACTAAGCAAGAAGTATCTCGCGTTTCTATATACCTGTCTTGTGTGATAAATGCGCGAGATCCGGTTATGGACTAATAAACTAGTGTCTGTATTTCTTAAGAACGGTTATGGAAACATCATTAACATTAACACTCGTACGTCGAATTTACAGTAATACTCTATTGAAAATTGTCTTTAGAATTCTTTTATATAATTTTTCAGAATTTCTATATAAATTTCAAAATTTTTTAAATTTCTGTATAACTTTTTAAAAAATTTCTCATATTTTTTATATATAAAACGAAACAATTTTCAGAAATACTAAAAAAATCTACACCTTTTTCAAATGCATATAAATTCTGACATATTATTCTAAGATTCTGACATTTCCGAAAAACATTTATAAAGTCTGAAGAAATTTAAGGTATTTGTTAGAAATTGTTATAAATTTAAAATATAAAGAATTCTTGTATAAAAAATATGTGATATTTTGAGAATTTTTTTCAAGACTAAACGCACACATGTTTTAATTGCATTAACAATTACGAAAATAGGAATCCTGAGAAGAATTGTTTTGTCTCTCTTATGGTTATATTTTTTTCTCTAAACCGAGAACAATTTTCATTATTATTTTCACGTGACATGCATCGCTTTAAAAGCCTTACTCAGCCTGCGAACTCGGATGATATGCAATAGAACATGAGTTATAGGAATGATGATATGCAATAAAACATGAGTTGTGGGAATGACGTGGTTAATCGTGGTGGAAAATGCATTTGTCACTCGTGTGCGTGCATCCTTCCTCTCCGAACAACTTGAACTTTGATTCGTATTACAGTGATGCGGGCGCAGGAGTTGCCAATTAAAGTACAAAAGCTATACGTGGAGGAACGTGACGAGGGACCGTTGCACGAGCGGCTAATGTTATAATGATTCGTCAAATGTCCGGTCAATTATCGCGTGCGCTCCTCCTGTTCGTGACACGTACAATTCTACAGCACCGAGCTCCGAAATGGTGCCAATAAAGATCCATTGATCCGTCTGGCGATATGTGTTAATACCGTGAGACACCGGCACGGGGATAATTCCCACTCTTTCGCTCTTCTACTTACAAAAACTACTGCTATTAATAATTCCAAGAGATTACCGTTACGCCGGAGAGCTCTATCATCGTCAAATATTAACTGGCGTTATATGCTACTTCTGTTGTAGATCATGAAGGTCGATGACATAGTTTGTACAAGGGTATACAAACTTCAGGAATAAGGAGGCCAGTACCAAAGCTGAAGGCGTGCATAACCCCACACAGATGCTTCAAAAGTAGCTTCTGAAAACGTAAATTATCGTTTGAAATCCTTGCTTGAGCGTGAATAAGATACCCAATTATAAAATGTAATATATCTAAAAAACGTCTTTTAGATATACATGTCTAAGAGATATTTAAAAGATGTCATAAAGATGTCTTTTAGACATGTCTGGGTATATCACGCTGCCATAATATTGGACTGTATGTATAAGCTAATTGTAACTCGTGTTGAAATGTAACTTAAAGAGATTATAGAACATACATTTTTTACGGAGTTAAAATTCACATGCGTTCGTAAAAAGGATGTATCGAATGATAATCGAAGTATCCATCTGTTGTGCACATTTTCTATTTATGTATAGCGTATTACGTAATAAAATATGTAATATCGTCAGCAATTATGTTCCACATACAGCAATCGCTGTACTATCTATTCTATGAATTTGCTTTTTTCTACGAATAATAATAATGTCTAATAAAAATATACATGTGTTTTCATTCAAAAGTTTCCTAACTGCTAACTTCTTTTAATTATGTTGTATATGATGTAAATGTAACGAATTAAAACTCTTTATTTAAAAAGCAAATCTCTCTCTAAAATATTAAACATTTTTAAAAATGAGAAAAAAGTATCGATGAAAATATGCAAAAAAATATTTAAGTATTTATTAAAGTAATTTTTATACATAGATGAGCATCCAAATATATATTATTTCTGACTTGATACATTTATATCACTGTTTAGTATTCCGAATCCCAGTCCTTTATTGAAGAAATCTGTAAACGAAATATAAGAAATTTTTATCGTATATATCGTATATATCAGATATTGTATCAATGCATCATAAAATATAAGATTATACAAAATACAGTTGTAAAAACTATTTAGTACTAAATTAATATTAATGGCAATCTGATTGTTCATATTTAATTGTTCAATTCATTATAAAAAATCTTACGTAAAATTCCATGTAACATGTGTTTCCATCTTCGGTTTTAACCATATATTGAAAACACAATAGACCGCTGTTATTAGTTCTTAGGGAAACTTTGCTCGCACATGATAACGCGTTTATTGCGGGTTTAAAATGCCCTAACATAAAAAGAGATGTAACCGTTTTTGTACATTGAAATGTGTTTATTAAATCGTTATCATGTGGCAAGTCGATGTGGCAAATGCTGCCCATACCTGCCAAACCAATTCTGAAGAAGGGTTTTTCCGGCGAGAAACGTAACTAGAACGTAAAAGTGTCATATTTCAAAGAGACGTTTGAGCAAAAGTAAATTCCTAGGTAACGTAAAGATCGAGTTGAAATAAAAATCGCTCATTATACCTCGACTATTCGACAAGTTGGATCTAATTCAGCCATGGTGACAGCCGCCAATAATTCTGTTTGCAACACTACTTTATTTACAATGTCTTCTGTCTCAATATGGAAATCTAACAATTCCTCTACTTCTAAAGTTTTCAACGAGCAGTCTGTTATGATCCCATCTTCTTCAATGATAATACTTAGAGGATAGCCTGTACCCTACAATGAATAATTATGATATCAATATTGTTCCAGCAATAAAAAAATGATATCGTTGCTTTAACATTACGATTAAATAGTGACATGCATTTTGAATTGTTTTTTTCAAAGTCTAAAAATAGCCAATTTTGGCCGTGAATGGACACCTGTGAACGAAAATCTATGCAGTTATCATCTTGAAAGTCCATACATTCATAAAAAAAAGTTTATTTACCCAGGAAAAAAAGTTTGAGAAATCTTCTAAAAATAATAAAGTAGATTCTTTGAACGCTGTGCAAAAAAACTCGTTTTATTTCTAATGAACGTTAGATTTCAAAACTAATGGTGTGTCTACATTTAACACCTGTGGGACCATTGAATACTTTAATACTGTAACAATACACTACCATAAATATACAGGATATTCTATCTAAAATAAATAAAACAACGAAATATATTGAAAACTGAATCCATTAGACAAAAATGTTTCAGATAAAAGTTGTATGGTTTGAAACAGAAATAGATCAATGTTCAAAATAAATTGATTTTTTAAGGTCACATGAAGGTCACCTCCATTTTTTAAATCTGAATATGAATTTTTTATGTAATACGACTCCTTTAATTATTCTTGAGGTTTTAAAGGTGTCCGTTCATGGCTAAAATTGGTCATTTTTAAACTCCCTCCTTTAGTATAAATCTTTCCTTTTCAGTTGAATTTCTTGCACTGTTCATTTTTTCTCTTTTTCTACATTAAAAAAAAGAAAAAAAAGATGAACAATAAAAGCTAAAAACAGGCTTTGAAATTCAGAAAATTAAAAATCTAAAAATTTATATCAAGTTTTTTGTTTTGGATTCTAAATTCACTAAAAATAGATGAGAATTATTCTGTTTTTATACTGAAATGACACGTTTTTCGTTTACTTTGTAAAACATTTGCACTGCAACGGAATCTTCTTGTGAAGTAGGCCAGAACATACAAAGGCAATCCACTAATATTTTCAAACTTAATGAAAACATCACATCTTCTTTCAATTTAAATTCATCAAAAACTGTAGATGGGAAATATACACTGGCCTGCAGACATTTGTCATGCTCAATTGTGATTTTCAATCCATTTTCACTACCGAGGCAAGTAGCTATCTAAATAATAACCATACGTTTTTTTACATTATAGAAATATACATTTTTATCATTATAGAAAAACGCAAATATATTCAAACATAAATACACATCCTGCAAGTACCTCTATAAAATTGATAGCTTTTAATAATTCTATTATAATCTTTAGATTTGTCAATCCTACTTTTGCAACCAACATGTAGTCTTCCGTGTTAGAGGGCATCATATTTGTTTGAAGCCTGATATAACAATAAATTATCAAACTGCTTTTGGATTAGTTGCTGATGTAACAACTTCTCATTGTCAACACTGGCTAGCCAAGCTGCCAAAACATGTTTACATGTAAAAGCAGACCGATCTGTTAGAACCTGATGTCTGTAATGTTAAGAGCTTTTATAAAAACAATAATAAGATTGAAAGACCGCTAATGTTAAACATAATAATTTTAAATTAAGAAGCGCCATAACGGTCAGAACGTTAAGATGTTGAACTATTGTAAATTCATTTAAATGAATTAATTTCAGAAATGATAATTGCGTGCCGATATGGTTGTCGGACTTTCAACGCAATCAAATCTGAAAATATTAATAATCCCCCCAAATTCCCCAACTTAAAAACTGTAATAAAACTTATTGCGAAAAATAATGCCTCGGCCGGGAGTCGAACCCGGATCTCTTTTATAAAAACTTTTCATGATATCTTGTATAATATGTACGAGAGATATTTCCTCTTATATATGTAAAATTTCAAAAAACATAATTGCTCTGTCTTTTGAATAAATAATTTATTTACATAGGATATTATACCTGAAAGCAGCGCAAGTACAATAATTTATTTCTGGAAAAAGTGTGTACAATGCTCCAGAATGCCCTCTGACTTGTAATAACCAGCTGGCCTCGTTAGCACTTTTGCACGGCTCTGTTATAATCGCATTAGATGTAGAAATTTGTGTCACTCGTTGTTGCTCGTATAAATCTAAGGCTCTTTCAAACACTCCATCAAACAGCTTGTGTAGTTTCAATAGATTTTGATCAGAGACTGAAAGTATTTATCACTTTATTACCGAATAGATTATAAATACTTATACTTAATAAGTTTTGATTTCATTTGAAAATTATTAAATACTTTCGATAATTTTTCAGAGATAAGGAGAAAAATTCAATTAAGAAAATGAAGAGTAAAAAATCGGAATTAATTAAGAAAATTAATTTTCTTAATTAATTCCGGTTTTTATTCTAACATACTTTTATGGTTATAATTATATGTAATCTTTATCTCAAAATAAAATTAAAAGATGTCAAAAATAAAGGAAATTTTTTAAGTACTTATTTGTTATAGATTTTCTCCATTTAATCTTAATCTCTTTTCATTATTCTTCTCGTTTTTATATTCACGATGTTTGAGAAAACGTAGCAAGCTTAAAACTTACGCTCCCTTTTCATTTATAAATCGAAGAAAAGAAAAAGAAGCAGACTTATATCAAGTTATCAAATAGCGTAATGTGTTACATACATTGTTTCTCTCTCTCAAAATCATCGGCTACTTCCTTCAGTACGTTATCCACGAAATCCACATATTTCTGATCGTACACAGTAGGCGATCGAAAGCCGGGATCTATTACTTGTTGATACGAATTCATGTAATAACGGAAGTTACGATTCCGTATTTGAATCTTTGCCGAAACCAAAATGCTCATTCGTTGTCATATCTCCTATCCCATATGCTTTTAAAACACGATTCGAACTTGACTCGTATCTTTATCAAATCACAAACGACACAAACAAGTGGATGAGGAATATCGTCCAACATCTTAAAAAAGTCTGTCAACTGGATGATTATAAACAATGGTGGAATTGTGGAAGGGATAACATGAAGTTCTTTATTGAGTGTGTTCCGATATAGACTGCCAGTGTTGGCAGTACTGAAAAATCATTATGCTGGATTCACACTGCATCCGATTTTCGTCGTACGATGCTGTGCAACCAATCAGAAAATAGGATTCCGATGAATTTTGCTTCGTATTATTAGAATCCTGTTTTCTGATTGGTTGCACAGCATCGTACGACGAAAATCGGATGCAGTGTGAATCCACCATTATTAGTGCGCAGCGCACTGCGACAGCATGTAGTAACATCAATGACGTCATAAATGGTAGCCATATTGCCACTGCGACCATGGTGTAAAGCCCATGGCACATACAAAAACGTAAGGCCGTAAGACATAATCAGTAAGCAAATTGGCCAATCACGATAGAGACCGTAAGGCCAGTAGCGAATTCAATCTTACAATTTCTTTACTGCTTACGTATTACGGCCTTACGTTTTTGTATGTGCCATGGGCTTTACACCATGGTCGCAGTGGCAATATGGCTTAAAGCCCATGGCACATACAAAAACGTAAGGCCGTAAGACATAATCAGTAAGCGAATTGGCCAATCACGATAGAGACCGCCAGTAGCGAATCCAATCTAAAGCGGGGAGCACAGACTTTTGC